AAATATTCCTATTTTGTTCGTTAAATTTCTTATTGTTAACTATTTTCACACACACCAAAAAATTGCTGAATATTTTTTCAGTCGAATGACACATTGCATGACATATTTCCCATTAATGGTTGTGAGAAATATGCGTTTGAAAACTGCCCCGTTTTCGTTACATGTCTCATTTTCGATTAATTTGATTGTTACTGTGGGATAAATCGTCAAAATCTGCCTATTTAAACATCTTTCCTTATTGTACTGGGGGTAACATTACGAATTGTTCAAATAGGTAGATTTTGACAATTTCTCCCACAGTAACAATAATATATAGACAAGTAAATTTGAATGATAATTTTAAGGTGTTTAATTTTCAGGCGTAAAGTTACGCATTGGTAACGATCGAGTAGCAGTCAACGCAATTTATTTAAGACTGACTAATTCCCGATAGCTCATCGTCGAACACCAGCTAAAGAAATGACTAAAACTAGGCATAATTCTCGCGTAAGATTTGAGAACAGCCTATGAACTTTTGTAAACAAAACTCATTGGTCCCTTTTCGTGCGAACCGAAGTACGCCAACGCAAAACCAAAAACACCATCGGGTAGGGGAAATTCTCCCCTTCCCGATAGTGCTCGTGGTTTGCGTGAGCGTACTTCGGTTCGCGCGAAAAGGGCCCAACAAGTTTTGTTTACAAAAATTGATAGGACCTTTTCAAATGATGATCGAGAATTGAAAAGGCTAACGAGCCAAATCCATGGGTTAACCGATAGTCATTCTCATCAAAGACAATGGAGACGCTCGTCTCTGTGTCTTTAATGACATGCGTTTATTTCTCAGACATGTGTTGAGCTAACACTGCAATTAAAACGGAATACCATAAGCATCTAACACTTGATAATCCACTTGTTATTCTTTTATAAAATTAATTTGAATTTTCCATAATGCTCTTTTCCAGATCGATACGAATTGGAAAAATGAAAAAAAAACAATAACAAGTTCTTCCCGCTCTAGTTCGTCATACTTATGTGATACAGATTTGAGTTGTTGATAAAAGTTGTAGCTAATATTAAAACCTACAAAAGCTTCATACACATCATTTTACGGAAATCTGTTGATGGAAAAAATAGAGGCAAATGAATGTAAATCAATGCACGAAATGAATGTAAATAATCTTCCATGCCTGGTTGGAACTAAGAAACATTCAGAGTGGTGATACACCGAATATTCATCCACCATAATATTCGGCCGGATGCTTAGGCCGAATATCAAACTTTGCCGACACAAAATTCCACTCAAACACTTTGTCAGCCACTTGTTGGGTGGGAAATGCTCGAATATCAGTTAACATTTTTTGTAAACGCTGAATACCTGCCCGAATAGCAATATTCGGTGCATCACTAGTTCAGAGTACCGTAAAACGGGGTATCTTTGATAATGCGGGTAACTTTGATAGTATGATATAAAGATTAAATTTACTCGCTGCGCTTTTCCCAAATTAGAAAAATTGGTTCCATATTGTAGCTTAGGGTATTTCCGTTGATATCGTATATAATTTTTATAAAGTATGTGTAACATATTGAAAAACTAGTTTCGTGTTTTTCGCCTGTTTGAAAAAGCACTCATACCATCACTTATGAAATGTATTTCTGATAGAGCCATAACAAATTCAATGTTGTATTCTTATTGCTTATGAGGTTTTCTGATTATATACTCATTCATAGTTTCATATTTTAAGACCTAAATTGTTTGAGTTTCACCCATTTTTTTTCTACAATCATCGAGCATTATCAAAGTAACCCCAAATCAAATACTGAAGTTCGGTCACAAATCTAAAAAATAGTGTTAATGCTTTAACTTCCATTGAACATATTACTAACGAGTTTACTCTTGGATCCTCAATAGGGTAAATGTTGGCTTCGGCACCCATTGACTGTTTTCGGCAACCAAAATTTAAACGATAATTTCACTATGTTTTCCCATCAACACACTTCCCTGAATGTATTCAAACGATTCTTTAGTCTTTCAGCTTCAATCTGATTATATTTGTACGACCGAGCAATCCTATTATACCAGATTTTTCTTCAAATGAAGTATACGCACTACAAAATGGGGCTGATTTCGAGTTGCCGATAATAGAACAGCTGGTTAACACGCAGTTCTAATGGGAAGGTTGCCGAAGAAAAAGAGGCTGCCGACAATAGTCACACTCACCTGAGAAGTTTGGAGCGTTGTAAAAACGCTTTCAAAACGTTTTGAAAAATTCTGTCGATTGGAATGGATAGAGAAGCAAGCAGCAGATGAATGTAAACAAACAGACACATCATATATGTGCGTGACGCTGAGAAAATGCTAGTAGAAGTGCAGACGCTGCTTAGATTGACGAGAATACGTAAATTCCCCTACTTGTTTTAAAAATATAAAATTTAAAAAAACATTCATTGCTGTAAAAATATTTAGGATATACTTTAAAAAAAAACTATCAATGTGACCCCGTTTTACGGTATTTATTTTTCAGATCTCATTCTAAGACTTATTAAATATAATACCAAACTTAATCCAGATACTAAGATCCCAAGCTTGGATACTTTTTTAAATTCGGGAACGCAGATAGAGTTTAAGATTATTTCTTTCATAAGCAGTTCTTTGCAGTTTCAAGATTTTCTACCTGTTGATATGTCTAGCTACATATTTTTCATATAAGACTTGTCCGTTTTTTAAACATAAGCGGTTTTTTATATAATGCGTTTATTTTTCCAAGCTCATTTGCCGTAGCTTTGCGGAGCCGATATTCATTGTTTGGTTCACAAAATGACTTAAAACTAACGTTAGTAAAGTGGTGGCCAACTACTCGCAGCTATTTCGAGGTTAAGGGTAACAAATTGAAACAAATGGAGGATGGCAGGGTAGGACTTGAGAACACAAGGTTTGGCGCGCAATGTGCTCTTGATCTCAAACTAAGCGACATACTGATGAAAAAGACAGACATGGGGGTACACCGTTGGGGAGCTAATAACTTAGGAGAACACAAGATGACACTAACTACTAAATCCTCAGATCTATCTGTTTTAAAAACACATAAATTAAGTTAAAATAGTCGAGATCTGGGCTCGTCATGAGGCCTTTACCGACCGCAAAGGTTATTTTGTTCGGGCCCTAAGGGATGCGGATAAATCAGATCTAGCAACACAATCGAGGGTGCATGACCAAAGCACCGAGAAGTTCCACCGGCTGGATCGGAAATTGCACTCTCTCTCAGTAGCACTTTCAATACGATTGAAATATATTTTCTGTGGCGGGAACAATTGACAATGCTTTCAAATAAACGAAATAATCTAGATATGTAATTTCAAATATTTGAAATATCTACCGGTCTACTGTGCCGCAAACCAGAAATTTCGGAGCCCCGTTGAAAGTGGCTGATTTTCGATGAAAAATTTCAACTGTTAAGGTAAAAATAGGTCAACACTCCACAACCAACCGGAAAATGTAATATTCTATAACAGATTTACATGAAAATTATGCAGAATTTTCAAAGCTTCGGGACATGAAAAAATCATGGAATATGGTTGCTGGACGGTTGCAAGAACTCCCATTACATTTCTGGTACGAAACATATGCAGCAGATGTGATAAAGGGTGATACGGTCAAAATTTGGTCAATATCAACTTGACGTATTTCTTTCAATTTTGCATTTAAAAAACCTGAACACCCCTCATTTTGAAGGTGTGTGTGTGTAGAATGTTGCTCCTATTTTGATTTTGGAATTCACTCTTCAGTTGTCAAAATGCCGTCCAAGCAAGAAGAGCAGCGTATCAAAATTTTGCTCGCGCATCGCGAAAATCCGAGCTACTCGCACGCAAAGTTGGCAAAATCGCTAAAAGTTGCCAAATCAACCGTTACAAATGTAATTAAAGTGTTTGGGGAACGTTTGTCGACAGCCAGGAAGTCTGGATCGGGGGGAAATCGAAAACCGGAAGCCGCTGAGACGACAAAGAGAGTTGCCGGTAGTTTCAAGCGAAACCCTAACCTCTCTCTCCGAGATGCCGCAAATAAGCTGGGTGTATCGTCTACAACCGTGCATCGAGCCAAAAAACGAGCCGGACTATCGACTTACAAGAAGGTAGTGACTCCAAATCGCGATGATAAACAAAATACGACGGCCAAAGCGCGATCCCGGAGGCTGTACACGACGATGCTGACGAAGTTTGACTGCGTGGTAATGGACGACGAAACCTACGTCAAAGCCGACTACAAGCAGCTTCCGGGACAGGAGTTTTATACGGCAAAAGGAAGGGGAAAGGTAGCAGATGTTTTCAAGCACATGAAACTGTCAAAGTTCGCAAAGAAATATCTGGTATGGCAAGCCATCTGTACCTGTGTCTTGAAAAGCAGCATTTTCATAACTTCCGGGACTGTCAACCAAGAAATTTACGTGAAAGAGTGTTTGAATAAACGTCTGCTGCCTTTCCTGAAGAAACACGGTTGTTCCGTACTGTTTTGGCCGGATTTGGCATCTTGCCATTACGGTAAAAAGGCCATGGAGTGGTACGCCGCCAACAACGTGCAGGTGGTTCCCAAGGACAAGAACCCTCCCAACACGCCAGAGCTCCGCCCAATTGAGAAATACTGGGCTATTGTCAAGCGGAACCTAAAGAAGATCAAAAAAACTGCTAAGGGCGAGCAGCAGTTCAAGGCAAACTGGCTTTCTGCGGCGAAGAAGGTGGACAAGGTGGCTGTACAAAATCTGATGGCAGGGGTCAAGCGTAAGGCCCGGCAATTCGGATTTGGAAAAGCGGAAGCCTAACTGAATATTTTTCCTGAATTTTATACTAATTGAACTTGAAAAAAGAAATTTAATTTGATTTTTTAAATAAACGGTTTCACCGATTTACACGCGTTTTCCCTTGACCAAATTTTGACCGTATCACCCTTTAAGTCCAACCTTACATTTGATGTTTGATTGTTTTCAGTGCAGGTTCCACTGCCCTGAGGATATGAATCAATCCTAGCTTACCTTATCTTCTGCAATTCCATGATTCACCAACAGTGCAACTCCCTTCTCTGTCAAGGCTCGAAACAGCTGTGAACCGACTCGATTTACAACCGATTTGATCGGACATTCCTCTGTGCCTGTGTGGATAGAAACCAGAAACGAAACGAAAATCGCATTATTAGTTGCTCTTTCACATTTTTAATAGATTAATTTTCAGGCCGTCCAGTAAACCAACGATTGCTATTCGATTTCTATGAAAAGACAAACTTGCCTTCAGCTGATAGTGAAATGTGGATTATTTCCAGCAGCAGTAGCATCAGTTGCAAAGTATCCCGCGAGCACAAAAATAAAAGTTGCTCATCAGCAAATGAGACCAATTAAAGCGATAGCGCGGTCGCAAATTTCCAAACAATCTAAAGTATCACCCAAACAACAACCAACCGTCACCAATCGTTCAAGCGCTAAGCAACCGAGTCAACAGCGTTTGGTTTTCAGAGCAGTAATCCACACTCGTCAGCGTGGACGTCGTCGTCGTCATCGTCGTCGTAGTCGCGACCTCGTAATTACGATCTGTCGTCACAAATCCGTCCGATCACCATCATCATCATCATCTTTCTGCAGCATCCCACAGTCGGAATGTATTACCAAGTATTACCGTTAAAGCACACGTTATTAGACTTTAATATCCGTGAAATCCTCAAGCTGCACACATAAAATTTACATCTATCGTTGTTTTTTAGTAACCACTACTACCCGAATAGAAATTTGAATGAGTATTTGCATTTGAGGAACATTGAAAGTTTATTCGACCAGGAGGTGATGGGAAAATAGCCACTAGACTGATGCAAAATTTGAAATTTTCGCTCCACAGTATTCAAACGGTTTCAAATCGGGTCCTGATTAGCCTCCGAAAGTTTAAACTCATTTGACAAGAAACTGACTTGGCACAAACCATTTGAAGTTTAAATGGACATTACTATGGGAAAGCAAAACTTTTTGTTCATTGTCTTCTAGCCTTTTTACATGTTTTACTGTTAACAAATTCTATTGCTATTTTTATGGGAATTTTCATCAGCTACAACTTTGCAGATAATCGTTTTTCAGCCAAACGTCAAATTAAATAGTTATTAATTGTTTAAGAGATTGATAATCTTATGGCAAGATTAAGCAACTGTATTGCGGGCAACACTGTATTCTGCAGAGTGACATAGTAGCCATGATTTTTGTCCTCTATTCTACGCGCCATAAACACCAATGTTGCCTGCTGAACAGTTGATTGAGCATAATCATAAGACATCAGTGACTTGAATCATTAATAATTTTTGTTCCTTACATTTGATCGAAAAGTGGTCTTCAACAAAGTTGTAGCTGAGAAAAATTTTAACAAGTTCAGCTATCATTTTCTAACGGCACCGGTGGTGTAGTGGTAAGCGTGATTACCTCTCACCCCAGCAGGCCTGGGTTCAATCCCAGTCGGCGCCGCCGGGATGTTCTGAGGCATAACATCTCTGATCACGCCTTCCTTCGGATGGGAAGTAAAGCCGTTGGTCCCCGGTTCATGAGTTGATGGGTCGATAGGTAGGATCCAGGTGTGGGAGCTGCCTTCCTGGCACGTCGGTAGCATTGGTGCTCAGCACGGAAAACAAGATCGACGGAAAAAAACAAACCAAAGGAAAAAAAGCTATCATTTTCTAAAGTAGAGTGAACTGCGGAATTTTGAGATAGATATGAACCGAAATTATGGTTTCTTCATAGTAATTCCCATATAAACTTCAAATGGTTTGTGCCAAGTCAGTTTCTCACTAAATGAGTTCAAATTTTGGGAGGCTAATCAGGGCCCAATCTGGAACCGTTTGAGCACTGTGGAGCTAAAATTTTAAATGTTGCATCAGTCTAATAGCCATACATTTGTTAGGTATACGGATGGTTGCCATAATAATTATTTTCCTTCGAGCTTGTTTTCCGTACTGAGTTCAAATGCTACTGACGCCAGGGAGACAGCTCCCACACCTGATCCCTACATATCGACCCAGCAACTCATGAACCGGGGACCAACGGCTTTACTTACCTTCCAAAGGAAGGTGTAATCAAAGATTGTATGCCTCAGAAAATCCCAACGGCGCCGACTGGGATTGAACCCAGCCTTGGAGTGAGAGGCGCTTACCACTACACCACTGACGCCTCTCTTAATAGAAGTTGTCCATAATTTTGTTAGTTTTCTCTAGGAATTTACTCCTTCCTTGTATTGAGCTGTTATTTGAAAGTTAAATTAGTTTCAAAAATTAAATTGAACTGATCACAAATAATTTCTCTCTTTGAGTTGACTACAACTTTGCATCATGATCTGTTCTTTGATAGATAAACTATTTAAAAAAATGAAATGCTCAAAAATTATTTGTTTCTTTGAATTTTATCCTTCGTTGTATCATGAACTGTTGTTCGACTGTTAAAACTTCAAGGGACTGTGGTTGTACGCAATAAGTCTTATTTGTTAACTGCTGTTTATACTTTTTAGTATGACGCGCTTGACATAGATGGTCCACAGCTACTCACGAAGAGCTACTGATCCCGATCAATAGCGGTGCGGCTTCTTCCTCCTTCTGTGGATGCTCATGTGGGCTGCAGCTTGCTGCTTGCAGGCAGCCTTTTGTTGTGTTCTGGAGAACACCATCACTCATCACGCGATGATTTAATAAACACCGTTTGGTGAGACCGAATGGAATTCAACCTTGAAATCTGTGTTAGGGAAATCGCTTTTCACAGGCAATCGGTGATGGGGCATCCCTTAGCTCAGTCGGTTAAGGCGCAGCTACAAAGCAAGACCATGCTAGAGGTGACTGGGTTCGATTCCCAGTCCGGTCTAGGAATTTTTCGGGTTGGAAAATTTCTCGACTTCCAGGGCATAGAGTATAATTGTACTTGCCACACAATTATACTAATGCAAAAATGGTAGCAGGCATCGAAAGCTCTCAATTAATAACTGTGGAAGTGCATATAGAACACTAAGTTGAGAGCACGCAATAAGCTAATATGCCATAAGCAATAAGCTTGAAATGCGAAGAAGAAGAATACGAAGAAGAAGAAGAAGAAGAAGAAGAAGAAGGCAATCGGTGATAATTTTAATTATCATAGCAACAGTTGCACATCCGCGGAATTTTCAATAATGGCATTTTGAAAAATGATAAAGTCTTAATTTTAACGGATTCGAAAAAAAATTCTATCGATTGGCGTATTAAAAATTAAAATCCATCATTTCTGGATCAAAATCAGACCACTTTCATGCCGCGACTGACTTTGGTTTTTGAAATCGCAACCCCAATGTTGCCTTAAAGTATATGGTATGGTAGATTTAAACATACCTAGATAGAGCTGGAATGAGACGTAAAAGCTTTTGTAGACAATTACTTCTCTCGATGATTTTTAGGAATTCAAGGCATGCCCACTAGACTGATGCAAAATTTGACTTTTTCGCTCCACAGTGCTTAAATGGTTTCAAATTGGGTCCTGATTAGCCTTCCAAAGTTACAACTCATTTGGTTAGAAACAGACTTCGCACAAGCCATTTGAAGTTTGCATGTAAATTACTATGGGAAATCTCAACTTTTTGTTCATTGCCTTCTAGTCTTTTTCCATATTGAGCTGCGAAACAGTTCGATAGCCATTCTTATATAAAATCTCAGCTACAACATTGCTGAAAATCGTTTCTATGTAAAACGAGATAGGAAAAAGTTATTAATTATTTAAGAGATTGGTAAACTTATGACATGATCAAGCAGCTGCTCTGTAGGCAACACTGTATTTTTCAGTGTGACATAGTAGCCATGATTTTTGTGTCCTATTCAACGCCCCAGAAACAACAATGTTGCCTGCTGAGCAGTTGATTGAGCATGATCATAAGACATCAGCGCATTGGTTCATTGATAACTTTCGATCCTTGCATTTAATTAAAAAGTGGTCTTCATCAAAGTTGTAGCTGGGAAAATTTCCTACAAGTACAGTTGAAAGCTTTTGAAGCAGACCGATATGGTGAATTATTAGATAGACATGAACAAAAATCTTGGTTTTATCATAGTTATTCCCATACAAACTTCAAATGGTTTGTGCCATCTCAGTTTCTCACCAAATGAGTTCAAATTTTGAGAGGTTAGTCAGGATCCGATTTGGAATCGTTTAAGTATTGTGGAGCGAAAATTTCAAATTTTGCATCACTCTAATGCCCACGCAAACCAACTTTACCGTCGGGTAGGGGAAGTCTTACTTTACCTGATGGTGATTTTGATTTGCTTCGGCGAGCCCATACTTTCAAGACATCATTGAAAGAAGTCATTGTTTACAAAAGCTATTACGCCCTAATTCCAGCTATATGGAAACTGACATCCGATTGATGACCTTGACAAATATCCAAAAAATACAAATTTATGGTGGTCCTGAAAAGGACCGTTTGTCGTGATGGTTGAGTAATGCTGAGCTGTTAGGGTGTGCAACACAGATGAAGCTGGTGAGCTGTATGTTGTTTGGAATGAGGGTGATGAGCCTTTCGTTGTGTACTGAAGAACACCACTTGGTGAGACCGGAGGGAATTCAACTTTGAAATCTGTGTTGGGGAAATCGTTTTTCGCAAGCAATCAGTGATAATTTCAATTATCATAGCAACAGTTGCACATTCGTGCAATTTTCAATAGTGAAATTTTGAAAAATGATAAGTTTTATATTCAACAGATGCGTAGAAATATATCTGATCGATTGGAGATAAAATTATTGAAATTGGTCCAGGGGCAGCTGAATTATTAACGTTCAAAGTCTTTCATATTTTTGTTACATGTACCATTTTCGGTTTTCACAAAGTGTACCCCCATATAGAAATCACAACGTCAAAATATTTTTGAAATTCAATTGAAATGCTCCCAAATCATTTCTCTCTTGCAGTTGACGCCTTCCTTAGCGAGATCCTTAGTAGGGGTTTTGATCTAATTTCCGTCCTACTAAGCACAACCCGCGCTTTACCTCTCTTTGCTGGACGAGTTTAAACAGCAAATGGAATATTTCTGTCAAAGATGACTTCTAAATTTATTCACCTTTCCATACGTACCGTTGGATTTGATAAAGAGTCACAAATTGTTGAGATATTATTTAAAAT